AGCCCAGTATTTTGCAGACGCAGATGTAAACAGGATGAGTTTGACAGAAACCCAACTAGATAAGTGTAGTCAACTGCAAAGAAAAAATCAACGTGTAGCCCTGGCCAGTTTGGCTCAGCAGTTAGAGCGTCAGCCCGGGGACCAGAGAGTCCCAGGTTAGGTTCCCGCTAAGGGCATGTACCTCAGTTGCAGTTTGTCCCCGGCCCTGGGGACAAACTGCCAGTCGATCTGTGTCTCTCACATCTTCCTCCCCCCACACACTCTATCTGAAGATAAATGCAAAAATGTCCTCAGGTGAGCATAAAAAAATAAAATTAAATAAAATTAAAAAATTAATGTGTAATTAGACAAATAATTTAAATAAGGCATGGCTAAGCCTCCCTGCCAGGAGACAGGGCTTTGGATGTGAATCCTCTGTTTCCTTTACTTGCTGCAAGTAAATAAAACTACCTAATGACAACCACATCTTGTTCTTGAATGGAACATCCTAAGCAGCAATCCCCTTAAATTTGGTAACAATACCTACATACCCACTAGATTGGCTGTGATGGTTAAGTGTTTTGGGACACTGGAGTTCTCATGCACTACTGGTGGGAATGCAAAAATGGACAACCATTTTGGAAAACAGTTTGACAATTTTTTATAAAATTTAGTATACATGTACCATATGGCCCAGCCATTCCTCTTTTAGGTCTATACCTAGGAGAAATGAAAACATGTTCACAAAAAGACATGTACAGAATGTTCATGGCTGCCTCATTCATAACAGCTCCAAACTGGAAACACCCTAATTGTTCAGGTATAAGTGACTGGATAACCAAATTATGTTACTTCTATAAAATGGTATCCTATCAGCAATTTCAAAAAACTGCTGATCCTTGCAGTAATACAGATGAATCACAAAACTTGGTTATGCATAAGGAGCCAGCCACAAAAGAATATATAATGGACTTCCGGTCAAGATGGCGGCGTAGGTGAGCGCAGTATCGCGTCCTCCCACAACCACATCCAAGTTACAACAAAACTACAGAACAACCACCATTCAAAACCGCCTGAAATCAAGCTGAATGGAAGTCCTACAACTACAGAATTAAAGAAGCTGCATCGAGACTGGTAGGAGGGACGGCGGTGTGACGGGCTGGTCCCACACCCACGTGTGGCGGATAGAAATCAGGAGGACACCTCGGCTGGGAAGATCCTTCCTGAGGACTGAGGGGTCCCCGTCCCACACCAGGTGCCCTGCTCAGGGTTCCAGCGCCAGGAGGAGAGGTCCCCATAACTTCTGGCTGAAAAGACCAGCGGGAACTGAGGCTCAGGGAGACTGACGCGGCTGGAGCCCCAGGCAGCTCCTTAAAGGGCCCACGCATGGACTTATCGGACTCTCTCCCTCTGAGCTTGGAGGGGAGGCAGCTCAAGGGGCTCCAGAGACATACAGGGAAGAACTGAGCTGTTTGGCACTGGATCGAGGGCTGGAGAGGGGGCTTTCTCCGGGACAGACGTGCTGTCAGAGGCCTTTGTTCCTTTGGTGAGCCCTTCCCTGGGGCGGCAGACAGTTACCATACCTGGGACTCCAGCAACCTGGCTCACACTGGTAGCCCCGCCCTGGTGACACCCTGAGGCCCCGACCCACCCCACCCAACTTTCAGGCCCACCCAAGCTGTTGGCACTTGCTTAACCATAGGATTGGCCTGTCTTGGATCCTGCTTCAGGTTTTCCTAAATTTTTTCAAACAAGCAGTATCTGGTCTCAGCTAGCCCCATACTGCTAGTTAAGTAATACACAGAAACAAACACAGGGAGGCAGCCAAAATGAGGAGACAAAGAAACAGGTCCCAAATAAAGAACAGAACAAAACCCCAAGAAAAGAACTAAACGAAATGGAGATAAGCAACCTAACAGATGCTGAGTTCAAAATACTGCTTATAAGGATGCTCAATGAACTCAGTGAGGGCCTCAGGAGCATAAAAAAGGACCAGTCAGAAATGATCGATGCACAGTTAGAAACAAAGGAGGCTTTAACTGAAATAAAGAATAATTTACACAGCTTCAATAATAGAGTACGTAAATCCAAGGAGCCAACCATTGATTTGGAATATAAGGAAGCAAAAAATGCCCAATCAGAACAGCAAAAAGAAAAAAGAATCCAAAAAAATGAGGATAGTGTAAGGAGCCTCTGGGACAACCTCAAGCGTGCCAACATTCGCATCTTGGGGGTGCCAGAAGGAGAAGAGAGAGAACAAGAGATAGAAAACCTGTTTGAAACAATAATGGCAGAAAACTTTCCTAACTTGGTGAAGGAAACAGACATACAAGTCCAGGAAGCACAGAGAGTCCCAAACAAGATGAACCCCAAGACACATCATCATCAAAATGCAAAAGGTTCAAGACAAAGAGAGAATCTTAAAAGCAGCAAGAGAAAGACAGCTAGTTACCTACAAGGGAGTTCCCATTAGGCTGTCAGCTGATTTCTCAAAAGAAACTTTGCAGGCCAGAAGGGAGTGGCAAGAAATATTCAGAATGATGGAAAGCAAGAACCTACAACCAAGATTACTCTATCCTGCAAAGCTGTCATTTAGAATCGATAGCCATATAAAGAGTTTCCCAGACAAGAAAAAGTTAAAGGAGTTCATCACCACCAAACCGTTATTATATGAAATGATGAAGGGTCTTTTTGAAGAAAAAGATAAAATATATGAACAAACAAAATGGCAATGAATACATATCTATCAACAATGGAATCTACAAACAAAATGAACAGATAGACCAGAAACATTCTCATAGATGCACAGAACATTTTGTTGGTTGCCAGATGGGAGGGGGTTTGGGGGAATGGGTGAAAAAGGTGAAGGGATTAAGAAGTACAAATTGGTTGCTAAACTGACAAACCTCAAAGGGAAAGGAGCTAGGGGGGTGGGAAGAAATAAACCAAAGAACTTATATGCATAACCAATGGACACAGACAATAGTGTGGGAAAAGGTGGGAGGGAGGCGGGAGTGGGGAGGAGGGAGTCAATGGGGGAAAAAATGTGGAACATCTGTAATACATTCTACATTCAACAATAAAGATTAAAAAAAAAAAAAAGAACGTATAATGTACTATATGAGTCCATTTCTGTGACAGAAAAGACAGATCTAATTTATAGTAATAGAAAGCAGATCAGTGGTTGCCTGGGGACAAGGTAGGAAGTGGAGACCAACCTGGAAATGGTGCAAATGGTGCAACAACACTTTGGGTTGATGGAGTGTTCTATCTTGGTTGTGGTGGTGGTTATATGGTACACACATTTGTCAGAAGTCATTGACCTAAAAATCTTAAAATGGGTAAATTTAATTGTACTACATAAATTATACCTCTATTATGTTGACTCATTAAAAGCAAGAGGTGGGGAGAATGGAGGTGTTAGCCCAAAAGTCATCCTTCTAATGCTGTATACTGACTTCTTATGAATTAAACAAAACTCTTTTAAAGAGATCATATGGAGGCAGGGAGGGCATTTATTTGAGCACCTGAGGTAATCTTCAAAATTAGGTTCAGTTTCTCTTTCCATCCTTTGAATTACTTTCTTGCTTTTTTATTGCGTGGTGTGACTGGGGAAGAGAAGCCAGGTTCCGAAAGGGCCCCACGCCTTAGATGGAGCTTTTTACAGCATTTGCTCATGATCAGCACATTCCAGAAAGCACTAGATTTTGTGCTTTTGCTCGTGTATATCCACAACCTGAGTTCTTTGGGGAGGGTCAGTCTTGTACAGTGGAGGCAAGGAGCCTACCTGACATTTCCAAACCTTTGTTTCCTGTGTCTTGAAATGTCAGAATTGAAGGGAAGTTGGAAATCCACAGATTCAACACTTGTACTTCATCCGTGAGGAAACCATGGCACAGAGCACAGAAGCATTCTCCCCCTCTACCCCCTTCCCAGGGGCACATGCCCAGCTAACTGACTAGTAACAGGGCTGGACGCGCAACCCACATCTTTATGACCCACTTATTCCTCCAGTGCAGCTCAGTTGTGACCACATTTTATTAACTGTCATCAACAGCACAGTGCAGTGTTTCTCAAAATGGGGTCCTTGAAGTTCTGCCACAGACTCACTGAGTCTGAATGTCTGTGGAGGTTCCCTGGCACCTGGGAATAGCTGCATTCGAACAGGTGTCTTCAGCGATGCTGATGCACACTAACGTTTTAAATACCTCTGTTGAGGCCGTCAGATGTGTGTTTAAGGAAGTCTGAAATCAGGCCTTTAGGGAAGCCAAAGCCCATGAGTCTTACTTGGGGCTGGGCAGCTGATGAGAGAAGCCTCCTTTGTCCTAGAGCAGCACTTGTCAATCCGTGTACTACAAGAATTTTTAAAACATGCAATACCTGACTCTTTAGTCAGAGCCACTGATCTCTTTTACCTTAGACTGTCAAATTAAAAAAGGACAACAGTCAACACAACAGTAGCCATCCAATGTGAGCGAATCAAAATTATACCTATTTTTGTTTGTTAGATCGGCAAATAATATATTTATTGGTTTGCCGCAGAGTGTTAGTAATTAGTTTGTGTGTGCCATGAGATGAAAAAGGTTGAACATTGCTGGGCTAGAGGAAAGGAAAAGTTTCACTGTATTCATGGGCATTATTTATGTACCCTTCCCCCCAACTTTGCCCTGGTTTTCTCTGGTAACCTTTGCTTAATTCAGTGTTGTAAATATAGCTTAGAGCATTCAAGGACATGAAAGGGAGGTCCCTTAATGGAATGACCTTTGTTTCATGCAAAGGGTTGGCAACAGCTGGGTTTTTTTATTGTTGTTGTTGGGGTGTTTTTTTCTTCTGTCAATGGGAGAGGTAATTCCATGAATTGATTCCCTGCGTCCTCTGCAGAAAGATTGACCTGGTCTTTGGGGGAATCAATCCCATAGAATTCAGTGTCATCACAGATACAAGGCCCTTTGGTGTTCCAGATGTGACCCTCTTCTTCTAACACATGTCAAATTTATGTCACCCCTTTGTTACTGACACAGTCACAGCAAAGAATGGGTAGAGTGCACTGTGACAGGCTTGTCAGAGAGATGCGGCTGTGGTTCTCTTCCCCACCTGCTTCTCGAGCAGGCAACCCTAGGAGCCTTTCTCTTCCTTCTCCCGCCTACTCAGCCCATCACCAAGGTCAGTCATTACAATCTCTGAACTGTGTCTTGGATATACCTGTCCTTTGCCACTCTCCTGGTCCTAATTGCCATTATTTCTTGAGCAGCTGTCTATCTGGGCTCCCTACTCATGTTCTGCATCTGCCACAAGCCAGAATGACTTTTAACAAGGATCTTTAACATGCAGAATGTGAAAGCATTCCATGGTCTCATGTTCTAGTTATTTAAAAATATAGAAGTAGTGGATTAAAGTGTGAAAGAAAAGTTTCTGTATTTCATTTCTCTGTAGTAGACCCACTCCCCTCCACAGGGAGCCATCGATAATTGTTTGGAATGCTTTCCTAAGCATTTGTAAAACACGTGTGTGTGTGTGTGTGTGTGCATGTGCACACGTGTGTATACATACATGTACACTATATATACACATATATATGTGGTAGTGTGCATATACAGTTGACCCTTGAACAACTAGGATTGGGAACACTGATTCCCCCACACTCCCCTTGCACAGTGGAGCATCCTTGTATAACTTTTGACTCTCCCAAAAATTCAGTCACCCCTTGATATCCATGGGAGATTATAAGGATGCTCAAGTCCCTGATATAAAATGGTGCAGAACTGTGTAATAGTCAGCCCTCCACATCTGTGGATTCCCAACCATGGATTGAAAATACTGTTTTAGTTGGTTAAATCCATGGATGTGAAACCCAGAGAGATGGAAGGCCAACTATATATTTATTGAAAAAGTCGGCATGTAAGTGGACCTGCATAGTTCAAACCTGTATTGTTCAAGGGTCAACTGTATCTGTGTCCATAAATATATAGGGTTTTTAATATAAATAGGATCATACTGTGTTGTCCTCAAACTTGCTTCCTCGGTTGCTAATATATATATATATATATTTATTTAATTATGCTCCTACCAAGGGATCTTGTTCTATTTAAGATAAAATCTAGCCCTGGCTGGTTTGGCTCAGCGGTTAGAGCGTCGGCCTGTGGTCCAGAGAGACCTGGGTTCGGTTTTCGCTAAGGGCATGTACCTCGGTTGCAGTTTGTCCCCGGCTTGGTTGGTTGTGCGGGTGGCAGCCACTCGATGTGTCCCTTTCACGTCGATGTTTCTCTCTTTCTCTCTCTTCCTCTCTTCCTCCCACTCTATCTGAACAAAAAATGGAAAAAATGTCCTCGGGTGAGGATAAAAAAAAAAAGATAAAATCTAAACTTCATAAAATGGCCTTCAAGGCTCCATTGTAATCTGTCCCTGCCTTTCCCTCATTTTACTTTCCACTTTGCTCACTAAACTCCAGCCATTGGCCTCCTGTCAGGTCCTCCCATGAACCAAGGTTTCTTCCTTCTCAGGACCTTTGCACGTGCTGTTCCCTCTGCCTGGGCTGCTCACTTAGGTTCCCACATGGCGGGCTGGGTCCTTGAAACACACACACACACACACACACACACACACACACACAGGCATTACTTATACACTAAATTAGTGGTTTGCATGTATTCATACTTAAAAATGTAGATATTGTAAATAATAAAATAATTCAGTTAATTCACAGCAACTGTTACTTATTAGTTAATAAATGCTAAAAAGTACATTCTTGTTCTCTGGGAGAATTCTATACTTTTTAATTTTACATTAATAATTGATATTAAGATCTGTATAAAATGCATAAAGCCCAGGATGTGAAGTCCTTCTTAAAATAGCCCCTGAGCACTGTTCCAGCCTCCTTCCAGTGATTTCCTTTCCACAGTTTTTCATTCTCTCTTCAGCGTCACCAAACTTACCTTTATTATTTGAACACACCAAGCTTTTACTTATATAATCGATACTCCTATTCACAGATTCTGGTTTGTTTTTTTTTAATTCACCTGCCTGCTAAAGTGTACTTGTAACCCCGAGTCAGCGCTCACGGTGCTCCCACGGCGAGCCACAGGCAAGCTCGAGTGCAGCGCAGTGACGACGGAGCAGCCCCACAGGCGGCCCCGCTGAAGCAGGACACGGCCACCCGCTGCCTTCTTGTGTCAGTTACCCGTCTGTTCAGTGCTATGTTTTTCATATTTATGTGCTTTTTGTGGTGATTTTTCTGTTTAAAATGGCCCCAAGCTTAGTGCTCCAGTTCTGTCCGGTGTTCCACAGGTAAGAAGATCGCGTGGGCCTTCTGGGGAAAGGACATGTGTTAGAAAAGCTTCATTCAAACTTCAGTTATAGCCCCAAGTTCAATGCCAATGAATCAGCAGTATACATTAAATAAGGTGTCTTTCCTCAGAAACAAGTAAACAGGATTATGCATTGATTGGCTGACGAAAAATATTGTGAGCAGAGGCTTGTGGGAACCTCACTCTGCGTTCCTCCTAGGAAAAGTGATTCAGCATTCACCAATTCAGTGTTTGTGGTGACTTTGCAACATTAACGTTTGTAAACACGGAGAGTCAACTGTACTCATACTGTTCTCTGTTCACAAAATGTTTCCCTTCCAGCATTTTTTTCTTCCACTGGCAAAGCTCCTCTCATCCTTCGAAGTCCAATCCCAGGGTCACCTGTGCTGCACACTGTCCCGGGCTCCTTCCGAGCCGGTGTCTCTGTTCATACCACTGTCAGAGCAGCAGCCTCAGTGTACTGAGTTACCTGTGTGTGTACCTGGCTGTCCTTTCCATCAGTCATGAGGTCCTACAGGACCAGGCACTAATAGGTTTGATAAGTGTGAATTGAATGATTAGAAGAAAAAAGTGAGGGAATAAATACTACAGTAATGGAAAAGAAATTGAAAGTGAAGGAAACAGAATGTGGATTGACTAATGGATGTGGCAGGAGCACACAGAAAGGACCCTTGAGTAACTCTGGTAAGGAGCGGGCTCTGGGTCTCGGTGTAGGACACGTGCTTAAAACCTGTGTTGATTTGATAGTGGCCCAAATTGCCTTAAGCGAGCAAAGAGTTTGAGTCACCTAAGCCAGCAAGGGGAAACCTGGCTTTCGGGATCAACTTGTTTTAGGACTCGCATTTCATCAGGATCCATCTTTTTAACTCTGCTCCCTCTGGGTTGGCTGTTCTCAGACTCCAGATGGTTGTCCCTGCAAGTTCAGGCTCGTGTCACTACAGCCTCCTGTCCAGTAAGAGAAAGGGTATACTTTGAGTAACACCCAATAAAGTCCTAGAGCTGAATCTTAGTGAGCAAGCTGGCTTGGGTTACCTGCCCATTGCTGAACCAGTCACTGGATGAAATGCATTAATTGGCTTAATCTAGGCTCCCATGATCTATCCTCAAAGCCTAGAGTTGGAGTCTATGTCACGAAAAAGGCATGAGCTTTCCCAGGTAATCATTGTGTTTATGGTGTCTGTGTACCATCTCACCCAGGAGAGAGATGACTAAGCATCCTGGAAGTGTTACTTTAGCAGGTCATCTGACTGAGTGGTTTTGTTTTTACCAAAGAGGAGCAAATAGACAGTCTTTCCTTTTGTTCCTTTGAAATACTTTTCATTGACTTATATAATACATAAAATGTGTCAAGCAACTGTGCTAAATTCTGGAGATAAAAAAGCCCCAGACCTCAGAATGCAGCAGCCTTGTGGTATAATAAAGTTCATTGTGTGCCCTGGGAACAAATAAGGTTCACTAGAGTCAGAGAGAAACTTTATTACTCAGATGAATGAGTCAGGAGCATATAATTATGCTGCCTTCTCTTAGAGGATTTGGATTTGAGAAGTGGAAATAATTTTGAACTAGGAACTGAAGCCAAGCTTCTAATCCCTCCATTGCTAACACCAACTAATGGTGAACTTGACCTTTTATAAACTCTGTGTGCAGTGTTTCTCAAAGTGTAGTCAGTAGTTAATCTTTATTAATTTCTCCAAATTCATTCTGGACCCTAACCCTGACCCGCTGGACTAGAAGTTCTGGGGCTGTAATCTCTGCAAATTGTTTAACCTCAATGACCCTCGTTTTCCTCTGTAAAAAGGGAATTGTATTTGCATTGCAGTATCGGTCTGAGGATTAAATGTGTTAATGGAGAGAAGGCACATGGCACATAGCAGGAGCTCAGCAAGTGCCATTCTCTTGCCTCCCTCAGAGTATAAAATCACTCCGGCCCAGGGTAGTTGATGGGTTCCTAGAGGAAGGATAGCGAGAAGCCCCCTCACTCAGGGAGCACTCCTCCAGGACTGTGTGACTGTAACATGGCCCACTGGACTCTCTCAACTGTCTGCTCCTAACTGTTCTGGAAGAGAAGGCTGGCCTAGTGCACTTCATGCTGCAGTGTTCTTGGAGTATAGTTGGGCAAATCATGCACTCACAAGTCAGATCAAATTCTGTGTCTCTGATTGTTTGAGCTGGAACTCGAAGCTCATCACCACCTGGGAGATTCACTAAGAGAAAGGTGGGTGAAAGAGTGTGTGTGTGTGTGTGTGTGTGTGTGTGTTTTATTGGTGAATTCCTTTTATATAAAGCAAAGAGCTTTTGAAGATGCAAGAGTTCTGTTTTTAATATCCCTGACTAATCAGTTTAGTTTATAAATATCATCTAGTGAGCTCAGTTAGATTCTGATTAACTATAATCCTCACTTAACAGAATTCTCCTGGTTTCTTGGCAGTTTTTAGCTTTATCCTCATCAGAAACAGGGAAGTAAAAAGGACACGCCCATTTCTAGGAATTACACAAAACCCTCTTCCAAGAAACATCTTGACCCTTCTACAGCTTCAGCCACAAGGCATGTAAGATTTGGTATCTGGAAGATGAGTTGAGGCTTCGAGAAGCCTGTAGTCATCGAAGCTCTTTTATCTTTGGTATAATACCTAAGGCAGGGCAGAAGATTCTGGAGTTTTAGAAATAGTTTCAACTGTCAATGCTGAAACTATAAGGGGTTCTAGTTAATACTTGGTCATTCAGTAAAACACATCCCTCTATTCCAATAATCTGAGAAATCAGATTAAATGAGATATTACCATATCTGGTTTTCTTGGTTAAAAATACATAAGGCTATCAGAGTTGGAAGAGACCTTAGTCCCTTGTCTGTCTACTAAT